TAACCGTATGTGTTAAAACAAATATAAAAATGTTAACTCAGCAAATGTGCTCTCATGCATTGATGATAAGCCTTTAACAAAAACTGACCTAAGTTGGTTTTCAACACCTCGTATGTAAATATTTAGTGTAGACATTGAGATATCCAGCAGGTGTTTTCAATAAAAGCTTAACTTCATCATGAAAAAAGGACAGTAGAATTTAAATCACAACGGTAACACTTTCTGTCGTCCTCTGGGACTGACTGGATGTATCCAGTTTCCACCACTGAGGGTAACAAAATACTACAACACAGATTGAACTACACTTTCCTCCATGGGGACCATGATGATAGGTATCTAACCTGCGACTAAAGAGAGGGGAAATGACAGTTCGGAAGAGATAAGCTGTACGTACACTAGCTATCAGACTGCAAAACGGAGCTGGTGTGTGAATTCACTATCTAGTAGTGTAAACTGTCCTTATCTCTGGAAACTATTTGATACAATGCATCAGTCACTGTGGGAAAGAGGTGTTGACAGCAGAAACAAATCAAAAATTGACACGGTTAATATGGGAAAACATGTACAAACAACATTGGCTCAGTGTCACAAAGACTTATTTTCCAATACTGCACTACTGTAATATTGAATAAACAAGTACTCTTACAGGTTTTACTACATCCTCCTCTCCTAAGGTTGTGTTTCATTTGATCAACCTCACACTCTCCGGGGAGAAGCTGAGTGTAAAGGCCCCTGATGCTCCCGCAGAAGTAGCAATCATCACTGACTTTTGACCTTTCGTTATGAAATCTATCAAGGACAGTCTCATCGATCAAAATAATGAGAAGCAATGCTGCACGAGGCCAACAAACAACACTACAAACAAAAATAAATAATGCAATTATTTCATGGAAAATGTGAATTCAATCTTGTTTCTAAATATAAAATGCATTTGTGTCTTCCCTTCCTGCATTAGAGGAATGTGCTCATGAGGAGACGAAGGTTCAATACCCATTATGCTCTGATGGCCATTACCTAATCTATCATCATTACTGAACCTACTACTGTACACCACTTCTGAGCATGCCCACACAAACTCTCAAATCCTTAACACCAACCAAGCAAAAACAAACACACACCAACGATGTATATTGAAATTCCCTGGTGGAAATGTGCTATGCTTCATTTAGCGGGGTGGGTAAACTGTGATATGGGATAATGTGTAATGCAGGGGCAAGGTAATATTACACCGAAGCTGCATGTGTGTCAGTGTGTGTGTATATTAATATGGGATCTGCAAGTGGGCTAGAAGTTACCCCATGGAGATCAACAGGAAACGTCTCAGTCAGCGAACACAAAAGCTCCCACAGCAGAGGGGGAGGAAGAGGAGGAGGAGAAGAAGGAGGAGAAAAAGGGGGGAGGGGGGGGTCGGGGTCGAGTGAAGCTGGCCAAGTGGGAGGTGGCTGGGGAGATGTGATGTGATTATGAAACTGATAAACCGTGACAGAAACAGCAGGTTTACCAGTTATTAGTTTACCCATTACCGTGCAGAAGCAGAAGAAGCTCCTCTCACCACAGGGGAGAAATAAAAACCAGCAAAGACTTTATGATGCAAAAAAAAAAAAAAAAACAACTAAAAAAGAAATAAGACGAGCAGGATATGAGTAAGAAGAAGCAATTGGGTTTAAAAAAAAATAATTAAATTCTATAAATGATCAAAAACCACACTGGCCTTTTATGTGAACAACATTTTCAATACAACAATGAATTGGAGTAGATCTTTAAGTGCATTATATTTTCCATTAAAATGTCATTGTGCAATTAGTTTTGATGACAAACTCCCCAGTGCAAGCTGAAGCACAGAAATGTCAGAATCACAGACTGTTACAGCAGCAGTCAGAGAGAGAGAGAGAGAGAGAGAGAGAGAGAGAGAGAGAGAGAGAGAGAGAGACTTCATAACACACTGCATAGTTTTATGAGCTTTCACACACACAGAATTCTAATTTCTATATTCATATGTAATACATTTCTAATGGTTAAGATGCCTTGGAGGATATGTAACTGTCCCCTGGATTATGTTCAGTGGCAATGTTTTTTTAATTTGGGGAATGAGCTTTTCTGCACCAAATTAAAAATACAGAGAAAAGCTTGGGGTGTTTGACTGGGTGTAAAACCTGCATGACTGACTCCATAGACAGCTTTTCATGTCAAGTCAGTATTGACTTTTTGTAATTTATTGAATTAAATTTGGAGCAGTTCATTTCCTCACTCCAACTGCACTGAAACTGCATTCCCGGTGTATTTTTAGCCTCAGTAGCATTAAAGCTCTGGGGATGGGGATGTTGGTCGACCGCTTTGGTCCAGATTGAAATATCACAACTAACCTACTTCTGCAAGCCGACATTTTTGTCTTTTAGTGCAATATCCTGACAACTATTTAATCGGTTGCCATGAAATTTGGTACAGATGTTCATGGTGGCCAGAGGATGAACCCTAATGACTTTGGTGATCCCCTGGCCTTTTGTGTAGCACCACCAGCAGGTCAAACTTATCTTGTGAAATATCTCAACATCTACCAGATGGATTGACAAATTTGGCACAGACATTCAATTTCATTCATTATATTCATTTTTTTTTTTTTTTTACATACATTCCCGTTCCTTTCAGGATGAATTGTAATAACTTACTCTGACTTGACCTGACACCATCAGGTCAAAATTTCAATTTGTCCAATACCTTGGCTTATGACCAAATATTGTTGTATTCTAAGCCAAACCACGGTTTTCCCCCACCTGATGACCTCAGCCTTTCCTCAAGGTTCCCATTTACCCGTCTGCTTCGCCCACCTATTGACTTGTTAAACAACAACCCGAGCCTCCCTCCTCACTCACACCTATGTTCCTGTTCATGCTCCATCGTGTTTTCCCTGTGAACCTCCTAACTGCGCGTTTCATCCTCTTGTCTCTGTACGCCTGTGTTCCTGCCTGTCTGCTCATCTGCCCATCTACCTGTGTGCCAGTGTTTTCACCATGAAAACTACTTCACTGAATCTGCTTGCATGTGAGTGTGCATTTGGGTCCACCCTGCCTGTGCTGATAACAGCAAACCGTTACACTTCCTAATCTCACCCAACTGCTGTAAATTGCCTAAACATCACCATAAAAACACTAATCATGCATTAGTTGCCAGGAGCGGATATTGTAAGGAAAAGTAATGAGAAACACTGACAGTGAACTTTTTGCAGACAATTTTAATAGAACTATGTCAGAGTTGTGCTTTTTAAAATATTCTTTCTCACAATTGAGACTACAGTCCTGGTTTACTGCTGGTTTTGTTGCGATGTTGATAAAAATGCAATCTGGACAGCATTATGGTTCCAAAGAAAATGTATTAGTCAATGCAGATGAGTTGTAGATGAATTTGGTTCGTAGGAGAAAGAGTTGCACACACACACACACACACACAGACACACACACACACATTCACTCACACACACACACACACACACACACACACAATATAAAACATTGCTCAGGAGATAGAGCAGTTTTCTGGATGTGGCTATTCAGAAGATTAAAGTTCCTGTCAGGGCCACAATGCAACACTGGCAAACAGCAAAGAACATACTGACCCCCGTGTAATGAACGACCCTGACATCTACATCAGCTGATGACTGATGTGCATTTTTCAAGGAGACGCGCGCACACACTGAGCATTGATTTCAGTCATGAAGGAGATAGCGATAGCTTGTGGAAGAATTTGTATCTTAAATGCAGCACCTTGTCTCATTGCTGCTCCGCTCTGTGTGTCATCTGCACACCTCAGCTAGTTAAAGGGCTCGTCTGATGCCTGCTGCTGCAAGCAGATCGATGCCTTTTCAGGGAGGTGGGAGGTAGGGAATCAGGGAGAGGAAAAGGGATGGTGGGGTGTTACTAGTATGAATAACATCCCCCTCGTGAGAGCAGGGGTCTAGATCAATGCCCTGACATAAATGAGAGAGGAAGAGGTGTGAGAGAACACAGATGGGGGGGTGTAGAAAGATGGATTGCAGAATCCAGCACAGACTGAACAAAAGCAAAAAGGAGACTGACTGAAAAGGGTGAAGGAAAGAGAGCAAAACTGAGAAATATGGCAGACGGTGCTAACAGCAGGTGAAGAGGTAAAGACAGGGCTAAAGAGTAATGGAGAGGAAGCAGAAAAGTGGAGAAAAAGGGACAAACAAGGATGTAAGAGATTTCATGGGGAGAGCAAAAAAGCTCAAAAGGAGAGGGAGGACTGATTGATGGAGGAGAAGGCTCTCAACATTTTCAAGATCCCCTGAATTTTTTAACAGGCTGGATTTTTGCTGTTCTGACAAACTTCTTTATTTCCTGTTTCTTTTAAGGGATGGAGTCATTTTTCATCCTTTTGTTGAGTGGAATCTCCCACTATCATCAGGCTTTTTCCTGCTGTTGTACATTCAATGGCATATAAATGAGTGACTTTTATTCACTGTTCACATTTCCACTGCATCTGAAGAACTGTGACGATTGGGCACCTTAGATGGATTAAAAATGTTGGTTTTGTATTTACCGTTTCCTAACTCTGATGTTTCAGTCCATTGCAATGAATTGATAAAAAACAGCAATGCAGAGGTAGGGACAAGGGAACCGAAAACCACAACCTGTCTCCAATTCACACAATGTGCTTAGTGTTTTATTTTTATATATTCCTGTTTTACATCACTGTGATTAAGCAGTAGTAGTAGTTGAATAGGGAATAGGTGAATAGGGGCTGGTGATAGATGGGTAGAAGGAGGTTCTTTTGAAAAAGAATATCGGCCTATTTATTTAAAAAAAAAAAAAAAAAAAAAAAAAAAATGGAACAAATGAACGTGAACTAGTTCATTGTCATCTGTATGAACTGAACTTTGAACCAGTTCTTTTTAAGTGTGAACTGACACAACACTGGGCCTGGTTGTGTTGAACATTTCACCCTGAGAAAATGAAACGAGAAGAAACAGAAAAGAAAGACATCCTTACTCTCATCGGGGTTAGGTGAGGCGAGGATGGCGCTGTGCTTCCTCTTCACCTCTTCCACTTTCTCTGCCAGAGACTCGATAAAACCCCGGATTTCTTCCACAAAAAAAAAAAGCGAGAGAGAAAGAGAGAGAGAGAGAGAGAGAGAAGCTGATCTGTTATTATCATAGTAGAAAGTAGAGGCTGAGTGAAGCAGGTTTATGTGAAAGAACACAGATGAAAAAAGTTTTTCAATCATTCATCTGCTACTTTACAAACAATGAAGAACTATTTTATGTATGTGTGTGATGTGTGAACTCAACAACTGGCAGGAAAGACAGGCTCTGAATCACTATGTGCAGTGACTGTCAAGCTAAGCGGCTGCAGACTGGAGCTTCTCTACAAGAAGGCGAATAAAGGTATTTCCCAAAAATGTTGAACTATTCTTTTAACCACACGATTAAATGCATTAAAGAAATCTGGCCCTGGAAGTGCATCACATGCATATGTCCTCCTTTGGACTCTGCACCTCCCAGCACCATCTGCCCCCAAGATCCAGGTACGACATTCCTCCCTCTTCATCCCTGCTGCCTCGTCACCAGCTGTGCTGCCTCTGGCTCAGGTCACAGCTTGACTTCATCAATCCCTACTTTCATCTCAGTCTGTCATCTACCCCGATCACTCTCTCCTCCTCTACACCTGCTCCGATACAGACCAGCCTGTTCTCCATTGATTTTTCCCTATGACACATCCATGGTCATTCCCCCAACTGGTTTGACTTCTCCATTCCTCTGTCACTTCTCACAGCTCTGCTCTCCCTCTATTCCTCCATCCATAGATTCCCAAGCTTTCCTCCTCTCACCCAGGGTCATTATTCTCTCATTATCTCTTTAATTAGCTGCTGATTGGATCCATTTTTTAATAACAAGTTAATTGGCTCTGGAAGACCACTGGGAAGAGACCAGGCACTACAGGATCACAGTGAGGTGAGTCCAGAGTTAAACAAATGTAAAACAGACAGGTGGGGAGAGATCACAGTGTTAAAAAGTAAGAGAGTCAGCCAGAAATACAGGGAGGAGGAAGAGAAAGACACGGTAAGTGAGCAGGAGATGAAACCACTTTAAGCTGTCTCAGTTTAGAGACCATGTGTCACGGTGAGTCTCTCAGCTCTCATAAAACATCAGGCAAATTTTATTGGTGTGGGAGAAAAACCAATATCAGACACTGCTGAGAAGCTCTCACACATGCAAAACCAAATAAACATAAATGCTTACAGGATCATTTTGGCAATTTTAGGAACTTTTTCTTTATGAACTTGACATGCTTGTATACATGACGTTTTCTCTGTATCTCCTTCAAATGTCCTATAAACAAATGTCCTGTCAACCATCCACATGATCACAGCTGGTGATTCAGTCACAGTTTCCAGTTTGCAGTTTTCCATCTTTGTCATTATTCTGGTGTAAAATAAAGAAAAATGTATCTGGCAGGTTGAATGATTAGAAGCTTGAGGCCACAGTGAGTCTGTCTTGCTCTTGCTCACTTCATTCTTGCATCATCAGGTGAAGGATTTTGGGGGCATGAAATCAGCCTTGCTACACAATGTAAGAAGAGTACTGACAAATGTAATGGTGCTTATATGCATGTTATAGTGTGAAAAATGCATAAAGATAAGGTTAAAAATCTTTTTTATTGACTTTATGAATTGTTCAAGGCATACGTGTTTTTTTAATTTTTGTTTAATTTGGGTTTCTGTCTGTAAAGTAGTTTATGACGGTTTTTAAAAAGGCTATTTAAATGACTCTTATTTTTCATAATCAACAGTTTACCACCAACTTCAAGTTACATGCAGTTTAAGATGTTAAATAAACAAAAAAAATCTGAATGGTGCATTTTTAAATTGATCTTAACTCAAAATATAGTTCTGATTTAGCACAAGATGAAGACGAATGTAAACAAACCTTTTACCAGCATCATCAAAAATAACTTAGATTTAATTATCTAGCGTTTGTCCTGTTTGTAGAACTATCAATCAGTCTGAGAGACACAGCAGGTGTCAGTCTTGTGTTACTTAAACATCGTCAGTATGCAGCTTAGTTCATGACCACATAAGGCTGAAGCCTCAACTAAGCATCACATTATGCAGACACAAGCAGATGCTTCTATCAAAGCTGTGAAGTCAACAGACAACGTATGGTACAGATTCGTTCTTACACTGAAAGTGCGGAGATTAACGGCCCACGTCAAATGTCATGCTGCTGTTAAACGACATAGCAGAAGGTACAGACTTCATTACAGCGACCATCTGTAGCACTTCATGTCAGCGCTGATACAGCAGGTACACTGCAGAAGAATTCATCAATTTGGCAAATGTGCGGATTCTGTCTTGACACTGTTTTTCTAGTATAATGAGCCAGGAGAAATAAACTACAATGACAATTTTTATAACAAAGAATGTAAAAGTTTTTATCATGCATACAGATATATCCAGGTTCAAGGACTTACACGGCAAAACATATTAATATAAATTAGATCTTGGAAGGAAAACATACTACATGAAACTATGACCTCCAATTAAACTGTTAAAAGTCCAAAAATGGTAGCAAATGTAACCTACAAGCAAAATGAACGTAATCACTAAGTGAATTGGTCATGCTGCCTCCTTTTTCCAAGATTTGGTTTCCACTTTTGGTCTGGAAGGTTCTGGATGACAAAGGAAATCTATGGCACGGACGTGTGAGCTGCTTCAGGCTGAGAGACAGACTGAAAAGTTCATGTCTTGTTATTGATAAAATGCAGCCTTATCCTTTAATTGCCATATTACAATGGTAAAAATAACAATGAAGTTTATTTCGATAGCACCTATCAAAATCAGAGATTAAAAGGTGCTTAACGAGGGCAAAAAGTAAAAACAACATTCATGCTACATGAATGAATTTTACACATAAACCACCCTACGTTCACATAAATACTTGAATAAGGTTATTATAACGAGTTCCAGTAAAAATAAAAAAAGAAACAAAACATTGCTAGAAGCAGTACAAGGATAATGAGGTAAAGGCAGGTATAGACTGAAGTACATGTGCAAGTACTACCAGACAGATTGATACCAGACACAGTGTAGTTCATGATACTTTAACACATTATGTAGGAAAAGCAGAAACAGACACCGATGTTCACACAAATGCCACAAACACATTATAAAATCGATATCCACTCTCTGAGGCTCATGTTTATGGTGTGAGTGAAGGACAGAGGGCCGCAGCAGTCTCTCCACTGTCGGCTACCCCTCCAGATCACCACTGAAAGCCTTATTAACACATCCATTCAGGGTTAGAGCCTGATTACTCCTTCAATCCCTCTTCTCCCTTAATCTGCTCCCCTCACTATCTACATCTCGCTCTGTCACATGATATCACCTGGTGGTCTCTAACCCTAACCCTCGTTCTTCACTTTCTCACTTGAGACAGATGTAACAGACTGAAATTCCAGACAGCGGGAAAAAAAAAGGGACGCTTCATTATCTACGATGGATACAGGCAGTCTGTCAGAGGCGAGAAGCTGCGGAAGAACAGAAATAAAAGGAGATAAAGGTGAGACAAAAGGCTAGAGGTTGAAGTGTTCCCTCAGAGCTAAAACATCCTATAATTACAGTGTTTTAGGTGTGATTTTCAAGTTCTAACATGTATCGCCTCTGTATTGACTGTCAAACGTCAAATTGAGGATGTTTAGTCCTGTGTGTACTTTTTCACTCCCTCTTTTTGGATATTAATGGACAGGATATTGAGACGCAGCCACGGGCTGTAGAGTCTCCAGTTTGGTGATACTTGGGTAACATCTCTTCTATTTGCAGATGGGACGGATCGGAATCAGACTTCGACCTCTGACATGCAGTGCAACAGTGAAAATGAAGATCTGCAACGTCCATCGACAACATGCTTCTCTCCTGATAAATGGTGGACCGCTCAGTCCAGGTGATGCCAGAATGGCTGTATCATGTGGATGAGCTTGGGTCTCTTGGGGTCAAAAGATGGCATTGAGTACTGACCACTGCTCAGGCAGAGACACTTTCATCAAGGAAATAAACAGTTATAAAAAATGATTGTTGTCCGCAATGCTTGTTAGATGATTGGACAGCACGTCCAACAAACTAATTCTGACAGACCATAAACCAAGAAAAAGCTCTGCTCTTTGATGGAGTTCTAAAATAACCCAAGTAGCAACAAGAATCCTCCATCATAAAACACATAAACATTCAATCTTAGTCATATGAACAATAACAAAACCTCAGGGTGGTGGAGCAAACTGCGTACATGCTTATGTGAAATAAGATTGGACATTACTAGTCAGCTGGTGGCCAGTGAGCTGATGAATAAGTCACTGATGGTGAAGCATGAATGAAGTAGCTGATGCCAATCAGCTAATACAAGCCTGCTCTACTGCCTGCACTAATGCAATGCTATGATCTCGGGACCACGGTGGTTACAGAGCCGTGATAAGATGGTCAGTCTTCATTCCAACCCTCAGCTGTGGTTACAGGCTCTGGGTCGTGACTGAGAGAATAAGACTGTGGACACGAGGAGCTGAGATGTGGCATCGCAGGGCTGGTCTGCTAAATGGTTCACTGTTCATTTTGACACATGATTTAGTTTTATTTTTAGTCTTCTGAAGAAAATGTGTATTTGTTTTGATTTTTTTCGTTTTACTCAAGAAATTTTAGTCTAGTTTATGTCAAAGTTTAGTCCCAGTTTTGCCTTGAATTCTTAATTTTGAGGCAACAGCTGATGCGATCTTTATTGTTATCATCGTTACAGGAGTCCCTCTTGTCTGCGGTGAGGTTAGTGGAAAAACCACTATTTACTTATTCACATGCAATGTCCGTGTCCTTCTGCTATGCAGTAATACGCAGACTGCTACAACAGACTACGGCAGACTGACTCATTTCCAAACTTGGAGTGTTTGAACAGAACTGCTCATTAATGTTGCTCCTGCTCACGTTACCACAGTTACCTGTGTTCTCTAATACAGAGCAGCAAATATTTCAGCTTCACTCGCTTGTTCACTGAAATACTGCTCATTGTCTGGGTTTGGTTTGAGAACATTAATGGTGACAATTCTTCAGCAATCACCTAGAAGATGATTTAAATGGACTGCAAATTGAAAATAACAGCAACGTCACATTCATCGCACTTAATAATGTTACCATAGCCTACCTGCTACCTGCACATTTTCACAGTTTGGCCCAGCTGTTCTTGTCTAATTTTCAGTGGAGTGTAGATGAATTTAGTCCACAAATCTTTCTCCCAAGAACTGTTAACGTCAGATAACCCAACAGACCGAGACATAATATTACTGATTACAAGATGCTTCTTATTATTAACGGCAGTTCAATAGGTCAAGTGGCTAAATCAACCTCCGAACAAGAGATATTTTAGGCAGATAGAGGCTACATTGTCTGATTATGCAGATGCCTGCAGGTTGTTGTACAAGTCTTAGTATTCAAACGGTAATTAGTTCAGTAATTTGTCCATATGTCAGTCTTTCACATGATCTTTTTTTTTTTTATGAAAAATGCAATACATGTCATCATAGTTCTCATTTTTAAATGTTACTTTTTGTTTAGTTTTAGTCTTGTTTTCGTTGTAAAGTAAAAGGTTTTCAACAAATACTGTATTTGTCATCATAGTTTTTGTCGACAAAATTAACTCTGGGTTCAGGAAGATATCTCAGAGTCTAGCCACAGCTCCTTTAACATTAAAAGGAGCCAGTTCAGGTAATTTGGGCACCTCATAAGGATGCTTCCAGGTCTGAGGCTTTCAAGGCACAACCAACTGAGAGGGGACATGTTAATGGGGACATTAGGCTATTGTGTTTTTCTGGTTTCCACCACAACCTTTACTAGGTTAACTGACTTGAACATGTATCATTGGATAAGGCAACATTGAAAACATTTCCATAAAGGTGGGTTACATTAGATTGCTTGACAGTTCAGTTAGGATACTCATTCCGTATTACAAAACCTAAGGCACATTTTGGTTTAGCGGTGTGGCTCCTCTACCATGATGCTCCGAAATATATCTGCACAAGTGTGACACAGACTTGTCTCTAAGCTCACAAACACCAGGCAGAGTGTGAGATACACAACAGTGAAACTTACATGAAGTCACACTGAATGGAGAAATCTAAATGCTAATGCAGGAGGAGGAGGAGGAGGAGGTAGTTGAACCGCTGAGAGGCAGGCGGCGGTTGTGGCCGCATGAAAGCAGCACTGAGCGAAATGAATGAGCAAACCCCTATACTATATATAGTGGTTCCATAATATGCGTGTTGGATAGTTAAAATATGCGATGGCTGCTTCCTATTGCTGATGTTGTCTGTCTGTGTTTTCCATATGTCGTCATGATTGCTGAGACTGTCCCCTTTGATCTATACAAGGTTTCTGATTGATGCACCTGCAGCTCAGTCACAGATGATTTAGCCACTGATGTACACAGATGTTTGTTTTGTTTTTTTGTTTTTTTTAATCAAGGGATTGGCTCATTAAATATAAGTAATAAAGCAGTGACAGAGGGTGAGACATGATAAATGATGATAAATATGAAATATATATAGAAGATGTAAAGTCTCCCCCAGCCCTCTTCTTATTTGAACTGCTTTTTACCTCTAACCCACTCGCTGTGGGAGATGTATGTAGCAGGCCCATTAAGAAGGCATCACAGAGGCCACTTTACTCACAGAGAAAGATGTCACAGAGTAAAGTCAGCCTGGCCCCACATGACTGATGATTCACAGCAGGTCTCTCTGGGGAGGAGATGACAACTGCCGCTACATTGAAATGCCGCCCCCCCCCCTCACATCTGCAAACCATGAGGATGTTCAGTTTGTGCTCCTGGCACAAGTGCACAGCATGTACAGGAAAATACACTTCCGAATGCATGTATAGATGCAGTTTTACACAGTCTTGGTGCATATAGAGTATCTGTCATGCTCAAGAGGAGAGACTGGAGAGAAATAAGTGAATTCACTGATGCAGTTATTCAGAGCTGGACGAGGAGAACATCGTTGTGTTGTTGAATCAATAAAGTCGTTTTGAAATGAAATAAAAATACATAATGATCCATGCCACACCAGCAACAATATCAATAGCTATAAATCATATCAATGCTCCCCAGGGAAGAGAAATGGCATGAGATTGATTGCAGTGCTCTGAAAAACCAACACGATTGGATTCAATGTCGGGAGAGGAATGATACCCGGGCAGACTGTAGTGTAGCAAATGACCTGGACTTTTATTGAAGATGGCACGTTATTAGCGTACTATGAAGCTGTTAATGTGTGAATGGGAATAATAGTGAGTTGACAGAGAACCACTGTGAGATAAACAAACCTGTTCAAAGAATTCGTCCATGAAGCCTTTGTCCATCCCAACAGCGACTTCATCCTCCTCTTCAGTCGTCTCCTTCCCCTGGACAAACACACATACATTTAGGAGTTATATGAACATTTCAACATAGTTCAAGGTTAAATGAAACAGCATTAACACTCTTCGCACCTCATCACCCATCAACTGATTAGAAACAAGGAGCACTTAACGGCACTTGTAATTAAACCCACAGGTCGAGTGATTAGCAATTTATTATTGAATTAGGACCTAGAGGCAGAGAAAACCTTGACTTTTACACTAATCTCACTGCACACACACACACACACACACACACACACAGTAGCCTACATGTACACACATACACCAGCATGTAGAGAGAGCCATGTTAACATTTCAGCTTGAAGGAGTGGTTCAACATTTCTACATGGTCATAAAAATGACTAAATAGGCCTTTAAAGCCTGTTTGATGAGAGGGGAAAGCTGCCAACATCCAAGAATTAAACTTTATAGTTCAACTGGCTCATCCTATAAAGTTAAAAAGTTGCAAAGTTTTCAGCATCTAATGATTCATTCAGAAATATGTGCTCATTTCTAATCACATATTAGCCATTACTCTACATTAGCAGGGATCTCATGTGGTTTCATCTCATCCATCTATCCACTGTCAAACTAATTCAATTCCCCATTAGCAGCCCATGAGCTCCATTTGCTTATCAGCACTCTGGAGATGGAATGTAGTTTTCATCCTATTCTGGCCGAAATAATTCCTTAAACGATCTTATGTACATGTGAGGGACTTTCCCAGCTATTTATATCAAAATTATGATTTTGTGTACGACGTTTCTCCCTCTCAACAACAGGCAGCTCAAACCTCAAGCCACCCTCTGCCTTCCCAACTCTACATGGAGAGGATGTCCATGTAGTGCCCCCTATGGTTCACAGGAATAGCGTTGGGTTGTGTATCAGTATAGCGGCCACAGTCAAAATTACAGGTCAGGCTCAGACAGACCTTTTGCTACACACTGCCTTTAGAAAGGGAACAGCTGTAAAGACAATTTCCTGAACATCCCCACATTTTATAACAAGTCTCGTAACAATAAGGTCCAATTAATATTTAAAAACCACCAAGAGTCGTATTAAGATTTTCATGCCACTCATGTGTGCGGGCAGTCGGCCGGGCAGAGATGGCAAGACACTTCGACACTTATGTGCATGCAATGCATTATGGCACCAGGAAGCAGGAAGCAGGGGAAACTTTTCCATTGTCATTGTTACTGCTGCTGATTCCACTTCAACTGTTTTCCATGAAGGCTCCAGACAAGTGAGAGGTCGATCAGCAGGTAAGTGATATCTATGTCTGTGCTGGTACCATTACTGCACATTAATAGGTACATCTGTGTTGTGCTGAGGCTCTGTGCCGAGTGTGAATGTTGTTTTTATTCTTAAGTGTCTTAGTGTATAGTCGACTCAGCAAACACACACACAAACACAAACACACATACACAAACACACAGCAGCAGCAAAGCGAGGAATACTGAATAGTAAATGCGATTTGTTTATATGATACGATGAACAAAACTAATAAACTTAATGATGGCTGAATACGATTTAGCTGCATGCTGGCTCACTGTCAATTTTGAGCAGAGCCATCACTGATGTTATTAGTAACACCTGTGCTTTTCCTATGACAAGTGAAAACACCTGGTTTCCCAAACATGAAACACATCACCGTGACCTTTACAAAAGCTTTTTCTATAGGAGAGCAAAGAGATAAACTATCTTCTAAACATCTGAAAACAACCAAGTCTCACCAAAGGAAGTCTTGTTTTTTTGGTATGGAAAACTGACCAAAATCTAAAAATAACAATCCCAAAATGAACTTCCTTCTTTGATTTTAATGTTCCACGAATTACTTTTGTCGAGTGGAGCCTGTGAATAACATTAAACTGCATTAATTTGTGTCTGGTGTTTACCAAAACAATTATGAATACAAGCTAATGCATGCATGTTCATGTTTTCTCAGACACAAAGTCATTCTGTGGAGTGTTAGCATGTGATGTGCCGACACAGAGGGGGAGGACAGACTTCAGAGAGAGATGGCGAGGCAACTGGCACAAATCTAAGTGAGAGGAATGCAGAGCCACTGTGATCACGCTAATACTGTGTGAACCCACTCAAACTATATTTAATCCGACAAAAACTTGATTGTTTTATGCTCTCTATATAAAGGGTTTATATTCATTAATACTAAAAATCAACAGACAACCTTTCTGTCCAAAACAATGAAGTGTTTAATGTGCTCAACTGTCGTGACAGATATAATACCAAATATGATGCATGGATGTCACACAACTAGTATTAATAAATAAAAGTTTGGTGTGGGTGTGGCAATGAGGTGCCTTTGAGGAAATGCAGACTATTAGAAGCAGAGAGAAAAGAGGCAGCTGCTGTAGGAGGCAGTGGAGGAGGAGGAGGAGGAAGACAAGCAGGGAATCAGAATAAGTCCCCATAGCACCCGTAGTGTGTTCAGACTCTACAGAGAGATGCTGTATCTCCTGCAGAGAGAGGAGGGCCTTGGTCTGGTTTTACTTTGAGTGGTCAGGAGGGGAGAAGACTGAGCGGTGCACCCGAAAACCTCCAACTCACACCCAGATCTGAAGCTCCTGCTGAGCCACTGAGCTGCTGGGAGAGGCCTTTAGTGCTGCACTCTTGACTCAGCCTGCAGTGTTGGACTTAGCTGTCCACACACAGCAGATGCTCAGACACACAAACACACATGCACACTACAGCTGACACACTGATAATATGTAACAGACAGTAAATACACAGAGAGAATAAGGCCTATACAAGCTGGCCCCCATTACCCCATGCACTCTGCCTCTGGGGCCAACACTCGAATGAAACACCCCAGCAGGAGTAGTGGCCTGATTATGCTGTTCATTAGATTAGAGAGTTGTTCTGGGCACCACGCCAGCAGGGAGTCGCTCCATAAAGACAAAAGGCAGAGCCTGTGCAACCAGTGTAAACAGGAGGAGGAGGAAATATAGTCCAAGAGTGAGGGAGCAAGAGATAAACCAGACATCTAGTGATGTCCGCACGGAAAGAGGAGAAGAAGCAGGGAAACACAACAGTCATTGAAAGCTGTGGAACTGTAATAAGATGTGCACTAACAGGACACACAGTGTGAGAGTTGACGTATAGGCAGTCAGGTTAAATGCAGAGGGAGGGAATAAAGTATAGTACCAAGTCTTATGCATTCAGACGCTGTTCACACTTTTATCTCAGAATACAGGAGAGAAGAGCAGTGAGAGATAGTTCAAGTACAGATGGAAACCCATGTGGGCAGTACTTTATTGTCCTTTTGTGTTTCCATATTAAAGCAGACCTGTTTCCCGCATCTTTGTATTACAGTCAATTCCAGCAGCTTCCTGCAGTCCCATTAGAAATGACTCATAAAAATCTGTGTCAGCTGCACTGAGGAATACTGAGAGCGTAACCAGATTTATTGTCATTATATAGCCACATAACATTCATTATGGATATGTGCTCGCTCCCTCTTACTTACACACACACACACACACACACACACACACACGATTTTTTATTCATGCTTCCTAAAGTAGACAAATACAAAGACACAAACAATAAAAACTGACTTTTTTTTGCTCCACTTGTTGCTCACATATAAATCTGAGAGGACAAGTGATGTTTCAGACTTCGGTCAGAGGTTCACACACACACATGTGCACACACAGACACACACACAGACACACAGATGTGCACACACAGACAGACACACACAGGTTTATTCTTCCGCTGTATTCTTTGAGCCCCTAACCCTTGCTTTATGTAGCGTTCATGTTTCTAGTAATTACCATTATTTCCAGTCTCTGACTTGTAAATGGTGTTCGTGTCAGCAAAGTAATTTAAATACACAGAAACTCTCATATTTCTGAAAGCTCTGATATATCCAACTTAATAATACAGAAGTAGAGAGAGAGAAGGAGCTACAGTTTATTGTCAGTGCAAATTGTCTTCGTATAGAATTTTCAGATGACGTGAAGGAACTTTCAAGGGAATCTTTTTCATCCCATGTAACGTGACTGTGGTATTGGTTGAAACCTAATACTATAGTCTTTCTAAGGTTAGAAGACTTTCTCTATATCTGTCTGTATGTTGTGATACAACTATAGGCATAAAAGAGAAAACAATTCTTTTTTTTCTTTTGGAAAACCAATTCAAGCCAGTCAATGTCAAAAATGTCCTCACTATTTAAGACTCAAAGTGGTCCTCCCAAAGATAGACATACAACAGTACACATACGCACAACCCCACTTATAATAATAGACATGGACATGCCTTCACCTGCTCCCCTGCTAAAGCCCTCAGGACATTCTCCACCTACACACCAAGAGATCTACAGCATGCGGGAATCACACTGGAAAATTAATTTTCACTTAACATTTTAAGCATGCAGAGTCATACTCAGTCTTCTTGGGAATACAGGGGTTCAACTGAATATATAGATCACCAGAACAATAAACGCAAAAGTCAAGAGTATGAATTATAATATTTCTGTGACCGCAGAAATTATTATTTAACTCTGCAAGGATTGAATCTTCGCTCATATTTTTGTTGTCAGAGAAAGATGACAAAAGAATGACCAGCTGATGGCAGAGGAGGAAGTGGTGTAGGGCTATCGAGACAGGATAATTACACAACCAGAGAGCAGTGCGGGTGACGAGACGACAAAGGAAGTGACAGATCGAGCCAAAAGAGCACCAGCCAAATGTAAAACTCATTCACTTCCTTTAACATTATTCTCCTGTCTCTTCACTGACAATGACCAGGAACCGTCCTCGAAAAAAAATCAACAAGTCTACATCTTTGATTCGGGGCATTAACTTGAATTTCAGCCGATGCTTTTCAGATGGAAAAAGATGTCACGGATTTTCTCCATGTGCATGAGCTGATTAATGCACTCCTGCTAATATCATGCTGATAAAGCACAAGAATTCTTCATTGCTAACTGCCAATTCCCTTCCACTGAAGGTAATTAAAGACTTAATTGTTACTCTTTA